AAACCCTGCAGAGTTCCACATTTCCTCTTGGAAAAATGGATAGCTTCTTGGCAATGGTATGGTGCCTGACGGGCCACTCAGCTGTCGGAAAATGTACAAGTTGGATGGAGGTTTACCTGGAAAATACAGAAAAGGTCAAAGGGCACATGGCCTAATGCCACTAATTGCTGGTATGAAGTCCTTTTAGCCAAGGAATGTTTCCGTAAGCAATATCTTTGGATACCTTCATTCTGTTTTTATTTTACAGTTATCATTTCATTTCAGTATAAGTCAAATTGGGTTGGCCTCTGTTGGCCGTGACTTTTTTATTGTCTTTAGCAGACAGTAGGCTTGAGTGCTGTTTGTGTGAAAACTTTAAAGAGATTACAGCTTAGTGTCATTTACTAGGGAATTCAAATCTTGATTGTAATAGTTTTAAGACCTATGGCTTTTGCAGGTCTCTGACTTTTTTAAAGTTTTAAGCTAAGGACATCATAAAACTAGGATATATATATATACACACACACATACATGCATACATACATACATACATACATTGTGTGTGTGTGTGTGTGTGTTGAAAAGGATGGAAGTGTTGGGAGGTTCTGTACTACCAAATTAGTCTGTAGTTAAATTTAACACCTGAATATTGAGCCCGGCTGAATTAGAGTAGCTCTTGAATGGGTGTGTGTGATCTGCATCTTCTATGTACAAAGGCCTTGTTAACAAGCAGTTTAACAAAGAAGTTGTTAAGCAGCTTGTGGCCCACAGGATGGCACTTAGCAGCAGGGGACACTTAGGGAATGTTAGCCCAACTGACTTCACAAATCAGTATCTGTTCTGGTTTTTGGTGATCAAAGGGCTTCTAACTTCCCTGGGCGTGTTCACACAAGAAATACTTTTTCCTAGGGATCCTATAATGCTATGGTAGTCTTCTCATAGGAACTACAGTGGAATTTCATTGGGAAAAGTATTTGTAATTAGGGGTATGACCTTAGACTTCATTATTCAATGGCAGGCGCTGAAAATTATTGTTTTCTATTTGCATGATTTTAATTTGATTTGGTAACTTGGTCCAAGAAAATGATGAATAATAGGAACCATATCAGAACTGATGTACAGTTATAACCTCAATCTGAATCTGATTGAACTCATTCTCCTCAATGCTCTCAAATCCTAACTCCCCTTCTGACTTGCCTATATAGTATTTCCATATTGGTGCATCATCTTTCAGCCACCTAGGACTCAGAACTCTGTTTGACCCAGTTTCCCCCTTTCTTATCGGCTCCTTTTACTTTCTCTCCCCAAGCCACCATGTTTAGGCTCTCTTGATGACAGTGGGCTAATAGGCCCCTTCCAGGTTCCTTTTCTCTTTTAATTTTAAGACCAGGAGTGGCACCCTCCTACTCATATGCATTTTGTTCTTTCTCATTAGGGTTAAACCCAAAGTCTTCTGCTTGAGATGTGTAATTCTTGAAAATGTTACTCAGTGCATAGATGACCATGGTCATCTATTGTTGCTTCTTTGGAAGAACGTGTCTTCCAGCAAAATGTCAACTCTTTACTGCCTCTGGACCTTCATATACTGTGTTGACCTGTTAAGCTTTTTAAGGAAAATAGTAAAGGCTCATTTATATATATGTCAAGATCAATCAAAATATAATCCTTAACTATCCTGGATGCAGCATACAGCCCAGTAGAAAATAAATGATCTCCAAATGGCCAAAACAGCATAGCAAAATAATAAGGCAGTTTTTTAGTTTGAATAACACCTTCACATACTGTATGTTATCTTCCTTAACCAGTGATTACTGTGCTTATGGGAGGAATGCTTAAGCCCTTGTCCACAGCATAATTATTCTGTATACTTTTGGACAACTTTTCAAACTGTATTTGCCTAATTTATAGAATACCGAAAGCAACAAATTAAAGGCACGTGTCTGAAAGCATGCAGTTCTGGACATCACCTCAGCGTTGTGAGAGAGCCCTCACCTCCTCCCAACTGGATGGCTGACTTAGAACTCCATTTGCTGGAATCCTGAAGCCAGTGTTCTTTATATTATTCATTTTCTATTCAAAATGAAAACAAACGATCAGCCAAAGGCTAAATCACATGTAACTTACACACATACCACCATTAGAGAAAGCAAGGAAATTCCAAATGGAATTTGGAAACATTCCTATCACAGTGGGTACTTTTTTTGTTTTTTAAGTTCTAGCTTTTAATGGAATAAATGTCAGTTTCCTTGATTTTTGATGTTTCCCAGAATGACTCAGTAATGGTCTTTAAATATAAGGATGAATGCGTGAGTGAAGTAAATGAATCTGGAAAGTAAATCTCACAAGGAACCCCTCCTTAAATGAGTGAATTTGGGGAACAAGTGCCATCTCACAGCCAGTCATATACTGGGTGCTCCCAGTTTTTGCTTTGCCAAAGACACCTGGAAAGACCCTGCCATGCTCCGCAGACATGGGGTGTGTGTGTATATGTCTGTGTCAGAGATTTTATGTAGGGACTGGTTAGAAGCTCACTCTGAGGGCTAGTAGTGGCCAATAGTTTATCAAAATTGTTTGCCCTTCAGGAGTCTAGAGTGTCCCGAACTCACAAAGAAGATGAAACTCCCCTGTCAACATTCGGTCTTTGTTACTAAAGTGTTCTTATTCTGGGCAGCTTCAAGATATGTGTAATCAGTGGAAGTAACAGTGGCGATTGACATGTCAGTGGTAACTTTAATTCTTTATATTCATATAATTATTTTCTTCTTTAAAACTTTCACATCCTTAGGCCATCTTTGGAAGGAAAATAGTTGCTGTTTTAAAGAACCAGGTCCCACAATGTTTGGTGACTTGTCAAAGGTCTGAGGACTTCAGGGCTGAGCTTACCGAATGCCCGGGGCAACAGGTTGCCTTCCCTCAGCACTGCTTCTGTCCCTTGGGTCAGGTGTTCTCTTGACAAGTATATGATGATTGAGAAGTCATACATCTGCCGGCTGTTTGTCTCTGAGTCTTTTTAAATGGTGAGAAGTAGCTATTTAACTTTTTTTTTTTAAACTATTTTGAAGGAAGAAGGGAAATAAAGGACAAGGGGGGGAAATGGAACTCTTCAACTTCGTTGCATGGCTTTTGGGGAGCAACCCCGAATCCTCGTGTTTCTGGGAAAAAGTATGTCATCTCTCCTTACCCAGCCTCAGGCCTCTTTGACAGTGGTTTTAGCTTTAAAGATTTTGCTTCCCCTACACATTTCCTTCATGGTCAGACTCAAACCGTTTCACTTCTTTTCCCTGCCTTATCAGACTTATTTACATCCAGAATCATAAAGACATTGGAGCAGGGCCCGTGAGCCATGGCCGCTGAGCCTGCGCGTCCGGAGCCTGTGCTCCGCAACGGGAGAGACCACAACAGTGAGAGGCCCGCGTACCGCAAAAAAAAAAAAAGACATTGGAGCAGTGGAATCCCTACTGGTTCATTTCCTTAACAAACCTAACACAGAATTGGTTAATGCATGATTGTCATTCACTTGTGATTGAGTTCATTCAGTTTATGGCAGCATTTCAAGACCAGGACAATAAACCTGCCTCAGAGTAAGCACGGAATCCTGGCGGCCTGAGCTGTTTTGGCTTTTTTATTCTATTTATCTCTAACATATAACACGGTACCTTGCACATAGTCTTTTTGTTGTTTTTTTGTTTGTTCTTTGTTTTTTTTTGCGGTATGTGGGCCTCTCACTGCTGTGGCCTCTCCCGTTGCGGAGCACAGGCTCCGGACGCGCAGGCTCAGTGGCCATGGCTCACGGGCCCAGCCGCTCCGCGGCATGTGGGATCTTCCCGGACCGGGGCACGAACCCGTGTCCCCTGCATCGGCAGGCGGACTCCCAACCACTGTGCCACCAGGGAAGCCCGCACATAGTTTTATTTGTTTTTAAATAAACTTTTTTTTAAGAGAACATGTTTAATTTAATTGGGGTTAGGCAAGAGAATGTGAAAAATACTTCCAGATGGTTCCCACAGAAGTGTGTGGGTGTGCTGGTGAGGCTGAGGAGGACGAGGTGGGGGTGACATGGCAAAGGAAGGAAGATGCAAACAGCTGGTGAGTCTGGGTGAAAGGCTGTCTAGGAGTTCCTTACTCTTCTTACAACTTCTCTGAAGTTTGAAATTACATCAAAATAAAAATGTACAAAAGTAGTGAATAACATACAAAATGACTAAAGGCCGAGTCACAGGACGGGGCCACTCTTGTCCACGTTAAGTGTGGTTCTGCTAAAAAGAAATCTCGAAGAGCTCTTGCCCTCCATATCAAAGCCCGCAGCAGAATAGTCCTGTTTCCGTTATCATTCAGCTTACTTGCAAACCTGATTTGTGGGCCCTGTTTCACAGGTCAACCTTAAGAGACAGCACCTGGAAAGAGAATGAACGGAATTTTCCTGTTAGATCTAATTCAGGCGTGGTTTCATGTTTGGCCTAAAAGGTAGTATTTTGGCAAAGCAAACACAACCACGTGTGGATGGCATTCGGAAGACCCTTCGTCATCACCCAGAGAGCACAAGTAATGGCCAGGCTTCCCTCTTTCTCTCGTGCCGCAAAGCAAATACCATGTAGTAATGTAAATGTCTACATAAGGTATATTTGTGAGATCACATTTTTGTCAATTATTTTATACATTCTTGCATGTGCAAGAACCATGCTGCTTCCATATGACGAAGTCTGAGATGGCGAGATACTTAACAGTATGCTTTCTGGACCTGCTGACAAGATGGGTAATTTCTAAAAGAAAAATCCAACTTCAGGTTGTTATGCTATCAGGTAGAGAAAAAATACCTAGTGGTAATGCAGCATGTATACCACTGCCTGGCACGTGGAGGTCACGTGAAGTAACTTATTATTTTTTAATCTTTCTTTCTTTCTTTCTTTCTTTGGTTGTGCTGGGTCTTGGTGGTGGCATGCGAACTCTTAGTTGGGCTTGCATGTGGGATCTAGTTCCCGGACCAGGGATCGAACCTGGGCCCCCTGCATTGGGAGCACAGAGCCTTGTCCACTGGACCACCACGGAAGGCCCTATATATATTTTTTTAATGTTTATTTTTTGGCCAGCTCTTAGAACTTGTTAGTAAATGTAATGTTTTGTCATTTTAAGTAATTATCCTCTGATATAAAGGAAAACGAGAGGCTTTCTCCAAATTTAAGAATGCTGAAGCAACAGCTCATGAGGCCATTGAATTTTTATAATCCTTTTTGACTGTATGTCCTCCTTAAAATGCCCCCTCTGGGTGAAGTGGACTGCCCCACCCCCCGTCCGGCTGTGTCATTGTGCATGTCTGCAGTGCAGCAGCATGACTACTTCACCAAAGAAAAGGTTCCACCCAGGGGGCAGTGCAGGGCTGCAGGGGTTTAAGGTCACCCAATGAGCCCAGTTCTAAGACCACTGCCCTTGGACAGCTGACCCGTGGAGGATCTCTCTGAGGCTCGGTTTCCTCCTCGGTTTTAAGCAAGATACGCCCTCGTGGGGTTGCTTGACGTGGTGATCAGATGTCACAGCACTGATCATGCCAGGCTAGGCACGGAGGTGAGAGGTAGCTGTCAGAGTGTCAACAAAGGACACTGAAAGCTGCGCCTGTGTCACTCATGTTCCTTCAGTTCATCACGAAGTTCGTCGCTTCGCTGATGAGTGGTGAGTGACAGTTCAGTTTGAACCGAGGCTGGGATGGCTGTGGGAGCTGCAGGCTGGAGACGCGGCCGGCACGTCCAGGTGATTGGGAGAACAGGACCATGGCACTGAGTGCTAAGTTATTTCCCTTGATGAGGGTAGTCATTTTCTGTGCAGTTTCCACAGAAGGCTGACCAGGCAATATAGCTGTCAAAGTAATTCAGCTCTTTGGCAATCTGCATCTTTGTTCTAGCCTGGAAAATTTGCAGTTTGTCTTAATTTGTGGTGTTTTCTCTTGTTTTAAAATATAGTGACATTTAAGATTTAGGTTCTAGTTAATATTTATGATCTTAGTAAGTCTGTGCAGAGCAGGTACCTTCACATTTCCTTCCTCAGCCAGATTTGGTAAAGGGAAGATGTGTGTATTTCATGATTCAGGTTCATTTGCATTGAAGGCACCCATTCTCCTGGTGTGGGTATTTGAGCTACTGATTAAATTCTTAACCTCTAGTTCTCTTCCTTCCATTGGGGGGAGTGGTTTTTTTTCAAAACAAAAGGGAAAGACTAGATCCAAGAAATGTTCTGACTTTCATTAACACGTCCTTTTTTACTGAGGAGTACAAGGAATGTGCCAATGTTTAGAAAGCCTTTCCTCAGACGTGAATGAAGTGCACCGGTGTGAACTTATGTCTTGTGTAAAAGGTCAGTCCCTTCCAGTGGTGGGGCAGGAAATGAGGTCACCTTTACTTTTTGTTTGGGGTGAATGAAAGTTACATTTATTAGTTGGAATAATATCTACTGTTGGGCATTGGTCCTCCCTAATAAAGATTGTAGCCATTGGATGTTTGGCCTCGCATTTGTGAACTGTTACAATTTTAATGTTTTAGTGTCCTTTGATTCATCAGATAAAAATCGTCAGTTTTCATACTCACAGGCTTTAATAGGTACCATGTTCTAACAACAAGTATCTAGTGTTGCACTGTGAGAGTCACTGACAAATGACTGTCAGGCTGACAATGTTTACGTTCCACTGTCTTTCCTACTTGTTGCAGCAAATGAGAGAATTTTTTTAAGGCAGAAGAGTTTTTGGAAGTCTGATGTGTCAGACACGCAGTGTGACTAGACTCTGGTTTTTAGTTGTGAGACCTTAGGCAAGTCACTTAACTTCCCTGAGCCTTGTTTGCTTTAAAATGGGGTTGGGCTAATTATCTGTATATTTCTTTCCTTTTTTTGGTGGAGGGAAAGGGGCAGGTATAAAAAGCTGCATCTGATCCTGAAAGTCTTGTATCTTTTTTTTCTTCTTAGTGCCTGGGGACAGGGGATGATTTTTCAGAATTGGAAGAAACTTAGAAGGAACATACATGGTGATAACAAAGTTCCTGGGCTGCAGGTCAGGGACTGTTGTCTTGACACCTTTATAGGCCTTCATCCGAGGAGACTTTCAGAGCCGGACTTACCCTGGTGGCGCAGTGTTTAAGAATCTGGGCCCCGCAGCAGGCTGAGAGCATGCAGTACAGTAGGTACTGCAGAGCTTTTCAGTGGAAGCCTTCTAGTAACACCGCTAAACACGAGTTGTCACCACGCTGGATTTTATTTTAACCTGGTGCTTGGATTCAATTACTGTCTTATGAAGGAACTCATTACTGAACGTCTGGCTGACTTTAGCCCATGGATAGTAAAGGCTTGCGGATTTAATGTGCTGTGAAAGGATTTAACTGTGCTATTTCTACTCCATGAGTAAACGAAGTTCAGTGCCTCTCAAACTTTATTGGAAACCTGAAACCTAAGCAGTGTGGCCCAGCCGACCCAATCTGTGCAGGCAGCCGTGCTCCGCTGGGAAGATGGACGAGGAAATGCAGGGAACCAAGTGGGGTGACTGGAGCCATGTTTTCACGGCACACAGTAGTGGGCAAGGCGGGGGGCGCAAACCCAGCTTCTTCCTACAGCCCCTGAGGCTTCGCAGGATTTCATTTGTGGGCAGTCAGCAAAGCAGTTTTCATGAGAACCTTTCTAATGAACAGTGTGTAGAGAAGCACCTTTTCAAGGCATCTGGAAGTAAACTAGTTTGGGTGGCATTTTCTGAAATGCTGAGCTGGTAAAGGGCCTCTTTCCGAATCACGCGGCCCTAGATTCTAAGTTCCGGGGGCCTGGGGACGGTGACGCTGGCGTCTTGGTCCCTTTCTCTGGGCCCCGCTGTGCGTACGCGGGAATTCAGTAAAAGCTCTTGGAGGGTGAGAGCAACGCCTTCGGGTTCATCTCTTCGGTTTGTCTTATATTGTCCACAGCAGCCACTGTCTGATGTCCTGTGACTGAGAAGCTGGCTGTTTGACTTTGTTATGATGCCTTTGGAGATGGAGCCCAAAATGAGCAAACTCGCCTTCGGGTGCCAGCGGAGCTCCACGTCCGATGACGACTCGGGCTGCGCGCTGGAGGAGTACGCCTGGGTCCCCCCAGGCCTCAGACCCGAGCAGGTAGGAACTGAGTCCTCTGCTTTTCTATTTTTCAATGTGATTTAAGGTCTTCAAGGGTTGTTTTTTTTTTTTTTTCCCCCCAACAGTGACATGCTGTGTCCTTGGGCCTCACTCTTTGGATGGTTTTAAATGTTTGCTTTAAGGTCACACTTAGTTTCTCCATGGACGTTTTCAATCCCTTTCGTACTCTTGGATCCAGAAGCCCTATAAGGATGCTATTTTTGCCCTACTGAGTGAAGACCAGAGTACTGCCTGTGCATTTGTCATGTGGATTTCTGACTGGGGTGTCCCTTTGGAGAGAGTGGGAGGAGTTTAACTTTTTAAAAAACTTCAGTAACAACAAAAAGGTAATCAAAGGAAAGAGGAAAGTTTCCAAGTCAGTCCTCAGCAGTGCCTTTGCTTTGGAAGAGAGGAGATACAGAGCTGTGAGAGACCATCTGAAGTGTTATTGCGTAGGATTTGACCTTTGATAACCTTGCACGTGAAAGATTCTGTCACCACATGGTATAAATTGGAAAAAAAATTAAAGAGCGCATTTTGTGCTTTGTTGTATTGTTATTTTAAGGAAGATGAGAACATTCTGTGTACCTATTTTTATCTTCCCAATATCCTTATAATGATGAACTTATTAAAAATTGCTGGTGTTAGACATAAGGGCCAAGATAGTTTGAAATTAAAAGAGCCAACTAGGCGTATGATTGCTTCTGAGTTATGGTTGTGTTTCCCATTTTCATGGGAGCTCCGATTCATCCAGGGTCTAGAACAATACCTGGCACACAGGTAGCTAGTATTCAGTAAGTGTTTACAACCATACCAGCTCCTGCGGCTGATACAGTGGAAGAGGGTGGCGATCTGGTCCTCCAGGTAGGAAAGCAATGTTTTGATAAACTGCTTCTTAAGAGAGAACCCTTCTTGCAGCTTAGGGCGAGTAGGTTTTGGGAGACACTAAGATATTGAAGCAGACAGGCCCCAAATTGCCTAATCTCCTATTTTTTTTCCTTCAATCCTTTTCATCTTTCCTCAGCACTGCAGTATCCTTCGCAGTACTCATTAAGGATTTCCTTTAGATACAACAGAAAGAAAAAAAAAATCTCAAACAAAAACTGAGTTCTTCTTTCCAAGTGAACTAAGTACAGGTTAATACAGCTCCCTTCCCGTTTCCTTGGGGAAACTGACTCCAGATATTTAGAAAATAGCACCCATGCAAGCAAAGAAAGCTGAACCTTGAGAGAACCTGATAAGGGAGAGTTTACAGAGTTTAACAAAACAGTTTTTGTCTTTGCAACGTGTAAAATTCAGAGAGCAAATCCAATGTGTTGTGTCGTGGCTGGATTGTGGACAGTGTCACACAGCCCTGTGTGGTCATTTCCAGCATTCATTTAGGACTCTCTCGGCTGACCCTAGCATTAAATGTGCATGTCTTATGGTCCATAATTTATGGTGCCCCTAATTGTCACTATGAATTGCATTCCTGAAGAGCAATTTAGCAGCTGGATGCTAGCTATCTGAGGGTTTGCAGTTCTGCTGAGTTGGCTCAGCTGCTCTTCTCATTAGCTACCAGTAGCCAAATCCTGTCCGAGGCCAGAGCCAGTACCTAAAGGGCAGGGTAACTCGAAGATGGAATGAGCTGAAGTGTTCGCTTCCTGTGTGCTGACGTCCTCTTCTCTCTCTCTCAGATCCAGCTCTATTTTGCTTGCTTACCAGAGGAAAAGGTTCCTTATGTTAACAGCCCTGGAGAGAAACACCGAATTAAACAGCTTTTGTACCAGTTGCCACCACATGATAATGAGGTAAAATAACAGGAAGAAGGCTAATTAGGGAAAAAAAAAATCCACCCTGAGCATCGTGGTGCCTCCCATAAACCCCAGCTCCTCCCTGGCTAGGGCCCTTTTGTCCTTCTTCAGTTAAAATTGGGCCAGAGAATACAGCTTTCCATTCTTTAGGAGAGAAAAGGGTGTCAGTGCAATAAACTTAACACAAGTTGGCTTTTACAGTGTTTGCAGCCACCCACCAGTTATCAGGAGCCTACAAATTCCTGCGATCTCCCTACCCCTTCACCCAGAGTCAGTGCTTTATGGTGGCTCAGGCCTGCAGTGGACTTGAGTGCCTGTAGAATGTAGAATGAAGGTGGCAATTAGCAAGTTTAAACCTTTTGTAGAAAGGTTCATGTCTTATGTTTTTTTAGTGTCTCTGCTGATAAGAGTTTAAATTAAACTTTTCATCTTTAAAAAAAAAAAGGACTATTCCTTCAAATTGCATTTCCCTTTTGCTAGAGAGGCTGCAAGATTTGGGGTCATTTTAAACGTATGGGGTCATTTTTAAACTGGCGATTCACGGGGGCAGGCCAGCTCAACTTGCTGTTTTATTTCCTGAAACTTGATTCTGGAAATAAAGAATTGGCGACGGACGCTGTTTGCTTCAGAGTGGTGCTTCTGTTTCTTTCTGTGAAGGTGCGGTATTGCCAGACTTTGAGTGAAGAGGAGAAAAAAGAGTTGCAAGTGTTCAGTGCTCAGCGGAAGAAAGAAGCACTCGGAAGAGGGACGATTAAACTTCTGTCCAGAGCAGTGATGCACGCTGTGTGCGAGCAGGTAGCCGGTTCTAGGATGAGTAGTGATGTGCGTGGATCAGCTCGGGGGGTAGGGGGCAGCGCCAGCACAGGCGTGGGCCCTAAAAGCCTCCAAAAACTGAGAGAAGGAAAGGCAGCGTAGCTTCTTACTACGTGGGGATTCGTGTTGGTAACTGGCTACACTGCTGTGTATTATGGGGGAGGCATGTAAACATCGGGAGAAATACGGCCTTACGTGGGGTCTTGGCTTGGAGTGCGGTGCTGGGGTGCACCTAGTGTTCAAGAACGCAGGGGCGTAATGAAGACATTCGGGGCCTCCTTACTGGCTGTCCTCAGAGTAGGAGTATATCCAACAGGAGGACGCCTCCAGAAAACCACTGCGCATGTCCGAGGAGCAGTCCAGTGTGGTAGTAAATCTGAGGCATGTTCATTCCAGTGGAGAATCATGAACAATCCAACATTAAACAGCAGGAGGGGGGGGCTTCCCTGGTGGCGCAGTGGTTGAGAGTCCGCCTGCCGATGCAGGGGACGCGGACTCGTGCCTCGGTCCTGGAAGATCCCACGTGCCGCGGGGAGGCTGGGCCCGTGAGCCATGGCCGCTGAGCCTGCGCGTCCAGAGCCTGTGCTCCGCAACGGGAGAGGCCACAGTAGTGAGAGGCCCGCATACTGCAAAAAAAAAAAAAAAAAAAAAATAGCAGGAGGGGACAAAAATTAAAGTTTCGCTGACAAACTTGGGATTTAGCATAAAGTGGAAAAGGCTGAGAATCCAGTCATTAAAAAGGGGTCATTTAAGATCTAAATCCTTTTGTTTTTAGTGTGGGTTGAAAATAAATGGAGGTGAAATTGCAGTGTTTGCCTCTCGAGCGGGCCCTGGAGTATGCTGGCACCCATCCTGTTTTGTCTGCTGCACGTGCAACGAGCTGCTGGTCGACCTCATCTATTTTTATCAGGATGGAAAAATTCACTGTGGCCGGCACCATGCTGAGCTGCTCAAACCCCGGTGTTCAGCATGTGACGAGGTAAAAAAGTTCATCCCTTAACCCTGGAAAAAAATAAGCTTCTAGTAAGCCAATGTTCCACTGTTCACACCTAAGCAAAACACAAATCTCTCCTGCTTCAGCTCTGTGTGTACGTTTTTAAGATAACCCTTCAAGTTGGTACAATGGAATAATATGCAGCTAATAAAGAGAAAGCAGCAGGTGTCTTTGTGTATTGATAAGTAGCATGTCCTTGATGGACTGTGAGAAAAAAGCAAGTTGCAAGAAGAGTATGCAGCAATTGATCTTACTTCTGTTAAAGGGGGGAAGAACAAGATTGTATACATATTTGCAAACACTCAGAAATGGTATGTAAAGACATACACTAAGTTAACAGTGGTGAGCATGTTAACTCAGGGGAGGGCTGGTGGTGTGAAATGAAATTTTTTTCCTTAAGCTCTTCATTTTTAAGTAATTTTAGATTTATAGAAGAGTTGCAAAGATACAGAGAGTCCCTGTGTACCCTTCTCCCAGCTTCCCCTATTGTTAAAACGTCTCACATAACCATGGTATGTGCATCAAAACTAAGAAGTTAACACTGGTGTAATACCATTAACTAAACCATAGATTTTATTTAGATTTCCTCAGTTTTTCTACTGATGTCTCTTTTTTATTCCAAGACCCCATCCAGAGAACCTCATTGCCTTTATTCATTATTATCTCCCTAGTCTACTTCAATCAGTGACAGTAAACTTTCAGTTTTTACTTTTATATGTTTAAGTTTTTTCAATGATGTGCTATTTGAAAATTTTTTGAAACCAAAAATGTAAAAAAATTAAAAGTCCTTAATCTGGAGACGGCACCGTCAAACGAAGTGTTATCTTCACAAGTGGTGTTCACATAATCCAGCATTCAGAGAGCGCTAACTATGTTGCACGCTAACTGTGTTGACTCCACAGCCACTTTAATGAGTTTTCTTTATTAAAAGATGCACAGACCGCTAAATTATTTCAATGTTAATGTATTCTTTGCCAGATTATGCCAACAATGTGTGATTGCGGAGCAGAAATAGGACCAAGTGAATGATATCCAATGTAGAATTCTGTTTTGTTTTTTAAAGCATAAGCATGCACTTAGTTTCTCTTTTTCAATGTTTTCACTTTCTGTTCTTGTTTTATAGCTAAATCAAGTTAGTCAGTTAAGCTTAAGGCTGTAAGAAACAAAGTACACTGTCTAAGCGGCTTTAAGATCCAGTGCCTGTCAGTTGCCCAGCAAACGTGCAGTTACTTGACCTTTAAAATCGTTCACAATGATTTTTTTTCATCCTATGGCCTCATATTCCCCTGAAGATAATTTTTGCTGATGAGTGCACAGAAGCAGAGGGTCGCCATTGGCACATGAAACACTTCTGCTGCCTTGAGTGCGAGACGGTCCTGGGGGGACAGAGGTACATCATGAAGGACGGCCGCCCGTTCTGCTGCGGCTGCTTCGAGTCCCTGTACGCCGAGTACTGTGAGACCTGCGGCGAGCATATTGGTGCGTCCGTGGCCCAGCCGGTTGGCTCTGTCACTTATCCATCAGTCTGTCTCTGATTACCCACACTCTTTTTTCTTTCTTTCCTTTTTTTTTTGTTTTTTTAATTGAGGGATAGTTTACATACCGTGAAATGTATAGGTTTTAAATGTTTCAGCTTGATGAGTTCTGATAAATGGGTGTACACTGGATTCTCATTACTTCTGCTAGTCGTGTTCTGTAGAGTTGCCGTGGACACTGAATTACCCCACACTAAGCCACTGGTCCTAGGGATACAGTGGGTTAGGTTCCTGTGAGCCTCTGGTCGCAACATTGTCATCAACCAATCAATATATAATCTTGTTTTGTGTATGTTTAGGTTTAAAGATACCTTATTTAATATATGTTGTTGATTCATTAACATTGAACTCACAGCCAACAGCACTGTAACTCCTGCCTGAACAAAGCTTCTCTAACACATGGATTGCTTCTCCAAGGCCTCCTTGCGCTTAGGAACACTAGACAGCATTTCAGCGCTATGCTTGGGCCATTTTAAACAGCAAAACCACCCACAGAAAGCACAAAAAATGCGAAAAAATGCCCCTAAATCGGCCGCAGGTGTGAGTGCAGTAGTGCCCTTTGACCCCAGCTGGAACACACACACACACACACACACACACACACACACACAGGCATCACTTGACTCAAAATTTTTTGCCACCTTGCACATGTCCACAAATGACCTTGAAAGCTCTGTGAGTATTGATTTTTTTTTTTTTGAGTATTGATTTTTGAACTACAAAATATTTAGCGCGTAGGCAAGTTTGTAAATATGGAATCTGCAAATAATGGGAATTAATTGCCCCTGTGTAACTCACAGCCTTGTCAAGATCTGGAACAGTCCCATCACCCCCAAGCGTTCCCTCATGCCCACAGTCTGTCTTTTCTGTTTCTTCTGCCTTTGTTTCAAGATGGAACTGTGACCTGTTACTGGATCCTTTTTTGAAACAGGTGTGGACCATGCGCAGATGACCTACGACGGGCGGCACTGGCACGCTACAGAGGCCTGCTTTTCCTGCGCCCAGTGCAAAACCTCTCTGTTGGGATGCCCCTTCCTTCCCAAACAAGGTCAGATTTATTGCTCAAAGACATGCAGCCTCGGTGAAGACGTCCATGCCTCGGATTCTTCGGACTCTGCGTTCCAGTCGGCTCGATCGAGAGACTCCAGAAGAAGTGTCCGGATGGGCAAAAGCAGCCGGTCAGCGGATCAGTGTCGACAGTCTCTCCTCCTATCCCCTGCTCTGAACTACAAGTTCCCTGGCCTTTCAGGCAATGCCGACGACACCCTTTCTCGGAAACTGGATGATCTGAGTCTTTCCAGGCAAGGAGCAAGTTTCGTCAATGAAGAATTTTGGAAAGGCAGAGTAGAGCACGAAACCCCAGAAGACCCTGAAGAATGGGCTGAGCATGAAGATTATATGACGCAGCTGCTCCTCAAGTTTGGTGATAAAAGCCTCTTTCAGCAGCAGCCCAATGAGATGGACATTCGAGCCAGTGAGCACTGGATATCTGATAACATGGTTAAAAATAAGACCGAGTTAAAGCAAAATAACCAGAGCCTTGCAAGTAAAAAATACCAATCTGATATGTATTGGGCACAGTCACAAGATGGACTGGGCGATTCTGCTTATGGCAGCCACCCGGGCCCTGCGAGCAGTCGAAGGCTCCAGGAATTGGATCTGGACCATGGGGCTTCGGGATATAATCATGATCAAACACAGTGGTATGAAGATTCCCTGGAGTGTTTGTCAGACTTGAAACCAGAGCAGAGCGTTCGGGATTCTATGGATTCCTTGGCTTTGTCTAATATCACAGGTACATAATCTAGGGGTTATGGGGTATTTGAAAAAGGAGCCCCTAAAAAGTTCATTCCACAAATTACAGGTCAGCACCAGCGGGGGCTATGTTATTTACAACTGTAGACCAAGGAGAGGAAGGAGTTTCAGTTAAATGCCAAAAACCCTGTAGCAAAACAAACACGTGTATACATGTGTGCATACATATAAAATATATTTTCAGTACAGTCTTTGGGGATAGGTCTTATTATCCCTGCTTTGAAGAGGAGAAATGAATTTATTGGGATCATGGAGTCTGCATCTGTATCTGAAGAAAGATATTGGACTCTTTGGATCATGCTGTGAATTTCAAGATATTAAAATCAACATGTGTACTCTATAAGCACAGAACATTTTTTGTATTTTCCTAAATTGCCCTGTGGTGACAGACAGCTCAAAAAGAGCTAAGTTTTTTTTTACCCAGATTATAAAATCATTTCACAAAATAATTTTCAAAGCACATTCATGTCAGTTATCTATGTTTCGTCCTTAAAATGACCTGATAGAGTGGATATTATTGCATTTTACAAATGACGAAACTTGAATTTCCAAGAGGCTAGGGAATTCCCCGGTGGTCCAGTGGTTAGGACTCGGTGCTTTCACTGCCAGGGTTCAATCCCTGGTCGGGGAACTAAGATACCGCAAGTGGTGCCGAGAGGCTAAATGCCAACTTTACATAGGTGTTTAAAGACAAGATTGAACCTGGAACCCAGCCCTCCTGAATCTTACATTTGCAGTAAGTTTTTGGATACAGAAATACTGCTGTCACTTGGCTAGTTTTACAGTCCAAGGAATGACATTCAGTCCTTTCATAAAGGTTATGTTACATTGTAACATAGGCAGGAAAGGCTTGAGCAGCTGCCCGCCGCCAGGAGGGACCCTGTGCCAGGTACCGGGCAAGGAGGGATAAGACAGCTACTCCCCTGGCTTTGGTCAGGCTTGTCAATGTTAAGGCCTACAATAAAGGGGACCTGAGGAATGGTGGGCAAGACTAAATATTAAGCACCTCCTGTTTGCTAGGCCCTATGACAGGTGTTTTAACAGTTAATATCAAAAATAGACAACATTTGGTATACGTCGTGCTGGTGCTGACGTTTCTTGACAATGATGGGCTGAAAAACAGGCTTTCTTTAGAAAGTAGGAAGCTGTGTAGCCTCCATTTGACAACAGTTCACACCACTTCCTGTTGTTCCTTGCAGCTGTCTGGGTTACATCCATTTCTCTTAACTTGCCTGAGCCCTGTTATAACAAGGAGTGCAATATTGGTTTTGAGAAAAGTTTTAAAATGAGATTAATAGGGAAGTGGCATTATTAGTTTATGGGTTGAAGGGGCAGAAGACTGGATGAAGGTCTAGGTCAGGGGTTTGGCAGACTTCTTCCGTCAAGGGCTAGAGAGTACTTTTGGGGCCTTACAGTCTTTGTTGCAACTACTTAACTCTGTCATTGTGGAAGAAACCATAGATAGCATGGGAGCAACTAGGTGTAGCTGTGTCCCAGTGAAACTCTATCCACAAATAGGCTGTGGGCTGGACGTGGCCCTTGCGCTGCACAACCAGGTATAAGACTAGTCTGGCTATAGGAAGAGGACCATAATGTTAGTCGTGTGACAGCAAAGGGAAGGACTGCGTTCAGAGACGTTCAGATGAAGCAATCTGACTTTAATGGGTTGAGAGACAGAAGCTTCTATGTGTCGTACCAATAAGCTAACGACAGGACTCTTACGAAGAGCTTTTCAAGTTGGTGCTCATCCCATGGGCTGTAACTCACGTTTGGCTCCAAAATGGCTGGGCTCGTAGGAGATGCTGGGCCCTTTGTTTCAATAACAAAATTCATACCTCTTGTCAATTAAGTGTATATTATAGTATGTTGGTTTTGCCTAGTGATCATTAATCAGATACTGAGGTTTGAGAGACTTCACTTTGAAATGCTTCCTTTCAGAAGCTTGTTGGTAAGAACTGTCAGAGTGTCAGGATTACTGAGAATCACATCTTGTCTTGGCTTTTCTTTTAGGGGCTTCGGTGGATGGAGAAAGCAAGCCAAGGCCATCGTTATATTCTCTGCAAAACTTCGAGGAAATAGAGGCAGAAGATTGTGAGAAAATGAGCAATATGGGGACTTTGAACTCTTCCATGCTGCACAGGAGCACAGAGTCCTTGAAGAGTCTCAGTTCAGAGTTGTGTCCAGAAAAAATCCTGCCTGAGGAGAAACCAGTCCACCTGCCAGTGCTCCGAAGGTCCAAGTCTCAGTCCAGGCCACAGCAGGTCAAGTTTTCGGATGATGTCATAGACAACGGAAGCTATGAGAACATCGAAATCCGGCAGCCACCGATGAGCGAGAGAACTCGGAGACGGGTGTACCATTTTGAAGAAAGGGGACCCCGGTCTCATCACCATCGCCGCAGAAGAAGTAGGAAGTCCCGCTCGGACAATGCTCTGAACCTTGTTACAGAAAGAAAATACTCTCCCAAGGACAGGCTGCGGCTTTACGCCCCTGATAACTATGAAAAGTTTATCCAGAGTAAGAGCGCGCGGGAGATCCAGGCCTACGTGCGGAACGCTGAGCTCTATGGGCAGTATGCCCGTGCCGCTTCCAGCTACACCCTGCGGAGCCCGGGGGGCCCTCGATTCCTGGGGCTCCACGGGGAGGACGACGGCTCTTGGTGCTCCTCCACCACCTCTTCCTCCTCCGACTCAGAAGAAGAAGGATACTTTCTTGGACAACCAATTCCTCAGCCCCGGCCGCAGAGATATGCATACTATACAGACGACCTTTCTAGTCCAACTTCCGCACTCCCCACTCCTCAGTTTGGCCAGAGGACAACTAAATCCAAGAAGAAAAAGGGACACAAGGGCAAAAACTGTATCATTTCTTAACCGAGTAGTTGTGGAGATGGTTAAGCTTAGCCATTAACCATCTTACATCGAATCTTTTTTCTTCCATAGGAAAGTTGCTAAAATAGATTCAAGTGCTTTGCCCATGTAAATGAGACCCCGACTGCTGTTTACAGTGTCAGATTAACCTTTGGAAGGTGTGATTTCTCCATTTACCCTCCTTGGATGGTGCCAGGTGGACGTGACCTCTCGTGCCTGTTGGGTGCATCACAGTTTGATACAGCTGCTTTGATCTCCAACCCTCAAGAGAGCCTCAAGAACCTGTTGAGAGGTGACTGGATGGGGGTGTTGATTTTAGACAATGGAGAACTTGAGCCACCTTTGTAAAGCACTAGTGTTTGTCCTTTATCTGCGCCAGGTTGGCCCAGGTCCTGACAGTCTGTCCTGTTGTGTGGCATGCACGTAGTCATGTGACCCAGCCAACGCTGTGCGTCCCATCATGCGAGGCCACGTCGTCCCCTTCCAACTCTCATTAGCCAGGTAAACATTATATTGTATTAGCTCCAGCTAGAGATCGAAAAGAACATTGCTATTTATAATGTAGTATTTCATAGACTTAAGTGTATTCCTAATTTAACGGTGCAAATATTAATGTATATACTGTACAGTTCAGATTTTAAAGCTGATATTTTTATATCCCTGAAATGTAAGATGTTTGTTACACTGCAGTGCTAGATTTGTTAGGGAACCAGAAACAGCATTTATGGATGAAATGATTGCTTGTATTTTAGTCAGGGTTTATAAGTTTAGATGGTCAAATTTATATTGCCTAGTGATGGAAAGTTCCCTTTTTTTTTTTCAATATTAAAAAGGCTCTGTATGCATGGTGGGGCTATGTAAATACTCTTTAAAACTATGGCCCTATTAATCTTACAAGTGTTATTTATGGGTCAAGCAATGTAAACTGTATAAATGTAAAAACAAACAAACAAAAAAAAACCCCTACACATACACGTACACCTGGAATATATGGTAAAAACAAGTAGAAGCTGTTTGGGTGAATACTTTTTTTCCCCTTTGGGATGGGCAGGGGTTGCCTTTCCCATTTTCAGCAAGGTAGTGATTATCTCATGGAAAGAGACCAAAAAAAACTACAAGGATCTGCTTTCTGTGGCAGAGTACTTTGTAGATTTATTCCTTTTCATCCCTCCTTTCCAGCTAATTTGTTGGCCTTTAGCAGCAGTTTTGAAAACCGGGCCTTCTGGTTATGTTTTTCTTTTAAAATCTTTAGAGGATGCTGTATTACTGGTTACTTCAAGTTAATATGTGGTTCTATTTCAAGGGAGAATTACGTTGGATTTGAACTGATGAGCTAATATTTTGGTATGAGCCATTCTTGCACATATGTTTCAGTCCTAACTCAATGTCCCAGTGGTATCTCAGAACTTTAGGAAGGTATTTAATAAATGCTTAATAAATAACAAACTACCTTTCTGAACACAGATCTCTGCAAACATATCCAGATCACTGGATCCATTCTGCTCCTTTGATTTACCTTGCCGTTCTCCTACCATTAACAGACCAACATTTGACTCCTGCGTGTCCACTTGCCCTACCAGTCGGCACAAAATAGAAGTTGAGGTACAGAAGCAAAGCTGTCCGTATTTACTGGTATGGGGAAAAGCTGTTAGGCCTTGGGAGGGCAGACCTGAATCCAATAGGAAAACCAGTGCTCGACAGCATCCACTATACCCACCCCTGGATAGGGCAAGGTTTGGTATCTGGGCTAGACAGAGGCCCTTCAGAAACACACCAGTGAGGGGAGAGCTCTTTCCTCAATAACCGTATCACCATTTCCCTTGTCTGGTTCATTTTAAAAACATAGCAGCGAAAAAATAATGCATACACGTGGTTAAAAAACAACAACAAAAACAGTGAGGAATCTCCTTTCCCCTCTCCACCCCTCAGTTCCCCTCCCTAGAAGTAACCACTGTTATCCATTTCTAGTGTATCCTTCAGATGTTCAAACCATATTTACATTCATGTATCTTTTAAAAATGGCAGCACACTAGACCGGCTTAGACTTGCTTTTTTCACTTTACATGTGGACATTCCACATTAGTGCAGATAGGTCTGCCTCATTCTGTTCTCGCAATGACTGCTTAATAGTCTACTTTTGGATATACCATAATTTATGTCACCAGTCCTTTAGTGATGGGCTTGAATTTCCTTATAGACATCTTATCCTGCACTGGCACATATGCACATAAATTCTGAGCAGCACAGTTCCTGGGACCAGGGTTATCACCAGTTTTCCTCCAGAAGGCCATCTCCTGCTCTACATTTACAACGTATGCGAGTGCTTCTTCCCTCACAGTCTCACGTGACACAGGAGCAGACTTCCTGATTTTTGAAGACCTTTTCAGAACCTATGCTGCAAACAGTGGGCATCCTTTTAGAAAAGACTGTTGCTTGGAAAGGATGGATAACAAATAGTAAACAGGTAATATTCAGCCTTACTTCACCTGGAGAAAGGCAGGTATAAGCTGAAGTCACGGTCCTCTAGCTTTCAAGTCATAGTTGCTTTTGCTTCTGGCAATAATCACTCTATTCATCTTTCCATTTCCTTATATAAGGGTCATATAGATTGCCAAAGGTTTTAAGGGAATGCAGAAATATTTATTCATAATAATAATGTACCCTTTAAAGATTTTAAATCTTGGTTAATAGCAATAACAAAGAAGACTATCTACAAAGGAAGAAAGGGAAGCAGCTACCTTGCAGTTCTGTAAAGAATTAGGCTAGAAAACTAGGCCTACAGTTGCTATAAAGTGTTCATATAGATTTAGTTAACAAAGTGTCTCACTAAACTCTAAAATTTGGTCCCAAGGTAAATATCAAATATTAAAACACTGCCTCTAATCTCTACCTGGGTGAAGCAGAACCCTAATGATTGCATTTTCCTCACTTCAGACCAAACTGGAGAACATTTTGCTTACAGCCCGCATAGGGATGCTGATAAAACGTCAATGGGAACTCCTTTCAGCACTCAGTAAAAGAAAATGATTCACCTTGTGTATGCACTTGCTCTTCTTGGCACTCTGCTTTCCAGTTCCTGAGTTAAATAAAAAGTACCAGAAGTGCAGGGAGAGATTTGCTGTCTAATCCCTCTCACTTTAGAATACAAAGCACGGGCCATCCTAAAAGGGTAGTAAAATTGGAATGGGCACTGAAGACTGCTAGATTTCCCTGTGTGGCATGTTGCCCTGCCCCACAAGGTCCTTGGGGGACAGGCTGGGCAAGTATGGGTGTGGAGGTGTTTGGGGAGTGCCCGAGGGTGCGTAGTGCACAGGATTGTCAACACTGTGTGGGCAGGCTTTGGTTGACTGACCTGCTCTCTCCTAAGGCGCACTCGACTGCTGCTGTGGACAGAGAAGCAGTGTACATGCTAGACCTTCAGACTTTCCAAAAGGAATGAGGAATTCGAACTTCTCTAAAACGTCTGCCAGATTCTCAATGCTAGCAACTAATTCAGACATTTCTGAAACCCTTTGAACAAAATGAGCCTGCCATCAGCAAGCCACCAATGCATGGGTTATAAGTTAAGCACTTGAAGCTGTCTCTTGGAGCTGTCTAGAGGAGGCACGACTAATTACTGTTTACAGAAATACATGTGACCGTTTTTTGAGGCACAAGGAAGAAAAATTATTGGGATTAAAAAAAAATTCCACTAAGAGCCTCATTAACAATTTAATGTTAGCAACACAATTATAAAAAACCTTTTAAATTAGGCAAATGAGAAAATTGCTAATTGCCTAGTTAGATTCTCTAGCCATTCTTCCAACTGTCTAAAAACAAGGCATGCTTCTGTACAGTCACATGGGTTTTCTGTTCACTGTCAAGCACAGGAGGAAGGCTTCCAGGTAAACAGGAGAAATACACAGAAGCAACTGAAATTTGCATCTCTGAGCTCATGTTTTGCCAAAGTCACAGAAGCAGTAACTTTACCAGGGGAAGAAATTTGAAGGGTGGCTTCCACAAAATGTTTAGGAAGGAAGTGTGGAGGAAAAGTAAGACATGGGGTATGTGTATAGACTTGGTCACAGGATCAGAGCCAGTCTATTCTTTTTCAACAGACCCAGCTAGCTGGTCAGGTAGTCCCATTTTAGAGATCCGTTTTAGCCTCAACTTCTCTTTTTGCAAAAGAAATTTCACATCCCTACTGCTGTGTGTGTACCAGGTGCTGTTAGGACAACTTTAGAAGTAGCTTGCAGCCCATTCTCCAGAAGCAGCTTGCAGCCCATTCTCCAGAAGCATTTGATTCCAAACATAAAAATACTAAAAGTAAGAAACTAGTTCTCTTAAATGCTAATACTTGCTATAGTGTTCTTAGGTCAACGAACCAAGTAACTGATGTTGGATAAGGTGATTACTGGTCTAATATAAACCTACCATAAAGCTGACCTTGGAGTGATGCAAAGCACACTGGTCTTCAGGATTCAGATCTGGGTTAGGAGACTCACGTCTCTCGTTAACTCAGGCGGGTTAAAAGCTCTCAGTTTCCACTTCCGTAAAATGAGAGTACTCAGCCACCTCAAAGGTCTCCTTCCAGCTTCAGTATTCTGTGGAGACTCGATTTATCGGGTCAGCCAACAGAAGAGTCTTCCCACTCAGCATAAAGTGTTGTTTCCCTTTTCTGACTCTTTCATTTACCAACATATTAGGCAAGGATGCCTAAAAGGATGATCCTTCCAAACACCATGGCTCATGGGAGTTGGGAACTGTAAAGGAGGTTGGTGCTTTTTTATATTAATGCTTGGGACTCTGAATGGGCAAGAGGTTAAACTAAACCGTGAAGTTTGGAAATGGTTATCTCCCTATCAGAGCATGTAGGCAGTCTGGAGATGGCATAGAGTATGTGGAAGACAAGATATTTTCCTCCCAAATGTTGTTTCTCCCCAATTAACAGGATGAAAAGTAAGATTTTTTTTCTACAATGCTATTGGCAGCATAGTCCGGAATCTCTGAACAAGTTGTAAGCAAAGCTGAAAAAGTGTTAACTGTTTAATCTTGGCTCCTAGAATAGGAGAGTTGAATTACCAGGCTCATTCCACTGAAATGGCTCTTGGCAAACCACAGTGGGTCCGAGTACCGCAGCCAAAGAGCTCTGGCTGTGGGAGCTGTGACCCTACCTGCTACCTGCCCCTTAACAACCGCCTCTTAGGAGCCTCAAAGGTGTGTTCTAAACTAACTAACTCCAAAGCACAGGTCATGGGAACTGACAGGTGAAAACCAGGAAAAATCTACTGAGCTAGGATTTGAAAGTTATCGAAACTTTTTTGTAAAGTTATTTTTATATATTGCCCATTACAATCATATCACACTTTAACTGTACATACCAATAGCTAGCGTGTCCTGGAGTCAGGATTGGAACCTAGTTCTGAGTGACCACCGAACTTCTACTTCTTCCAAGAACACTGAGTGTAGCGTTGAAAGATTTGGGTAAAACCTTGCCTCTGCCCCTTCCTGCTATATGACCTTAGATGACTTATACCTTCTGCCCTTAACGGTAAAGTGAGAAAAAAATCCCTATTGGCTTATAACATGTGAAAGTGTGTGTGAATCTAAAGAACACTAGTGTGGCCATTCTAACCTTGTTCAGATAATGAAACAAATGAAAAACATGGTGTTCCTCTCTGAATCCTACATTTAGTATCTTAAACCTGAAATGTACTGTAAGCTACATCCGATATGGTACATTAGAGTCTATACAGAAGTAACAGAACACAAAGTTTTTAAAAATGGTAAATTCCTACAAGGCGGGACTAGTCCCATGCCCCTCCCCCCGCTTGGAGGGCGTATCTCCTTCACTCAACATTCCCACCTCAGGACAGGGAGGCCGTGGCCTTTGCAGCAGAGGTTGAGCTGCCCCAGAAGATGAGATGTTGAGAAAGCAGTGCCTCTCCTCTTGGCCGCTGGGGTGGACCAGGTTGCTCTTGTGTTGGAAAGGTGATTTTCACACAAGACCCACCTCTCAGTTGAGTAAGCCCCACAGGGTTCAGCAGAACTCCACCCACTGGGATGGTGGAAAGCCACACTGGCCAAGCCCACATCATGGCTAAGGTTCAGTCCTGGCCAGTAAAGGAAAGGGAACACGAACGCTTGAGCACGAAACGTACCTCAGCCTGCTGAGCTGCAGTTCTGCTGGGCTGTAGCTTCTCTCTCCCCTCCCTGAGCCCTCCACTCTCTCTCTCTCTCACACACACACAGCCCCATCTGCTGGGGGCTGACCCCCTTTCTGGCCTCAGAAGCCTCAGGCAAGCGTAGGGTGTGGGCACACCAGTCGGCTGGTGCTGGGCCCGCTTGAAGGCATCGCAGACGTTTGGTCCGTGTGTCTTTCTCAGGGGCTTGGTTATGAAGGATGGCCTCTTCCCACTCGAAGGATGCAGGGACAGCATACCATGTCTTGTCACCGGGTCCT